ATCATCTTTGATTTTTCTCTTAAAAATCCATTTAGAACCCAAAGGTTTATTTCCTGGAGGAAGATCAACCAATTTCCATGTATGGTTGCTCAATATGGATTCTATTTCACTATTGACTGCCTCTTTCCTCCGGATTACCGAAGCCGAAGCCGAAGCCGTAGCCGAAGCCGAGCCGAGCGAGCGACGACGACGACGGCGCAAGACTTGCTTTCTTCTTAACTCTTTAAGAGCTACAAGAAGAGCAATTATATATATACCCACAAAAAATCTTTTCCTCTTCCAATATGGGACAATGTCTCATTGTCAAGAGGGAAAAATTTAAAATTTTACTCAAAATTTTATTTTCCCTCCATTTCCCATTCACCCTCATTTTAAGACTATTTCATCTTAAAACAAAAACCTCAACACTAATACCCTACTAGATTCATATTCAATGGCATATTTATTGGGAAGAGTAAGGATTCAATTACACTATCAAGGAACTCTGTTAGAGATAAGCTCTAAATATGGAGGAAGAAACTCTCCAGTGTGGTTGAACGTGGTTGGAGCCGTGTATAGCATACGGCCTTTCCTCCGAGCGCAATTTTCATCGCCTCGTGTGTGAACTACAAGGTATATACTTTTTGGTTAATAAGCTCTTCTTTTTGTTAAGAAACTCTAAGATTTGCAAATACTACTTTATAGGCTATCCTTTCCAGCTAAATGTAGATGAGGTCAATTAACCAATGATGCTATAACTGAGCACTTTTAATACCTTTGAATTATATGGCTCCAAACAGATTCGCTTATGTAATGCTAACACTCATCAGACTGAATCAGTTTCTTTGACCAAGTGATGCAATGTCAATATTTCAGACATGTCAATAGATGGAACTGTTTAAATCCATAAAAGTGCATTCCAATATATTATAGTAATCTTAAGTAATTACAACACTTCTAAAACAACAATTAGATAACTCACTGCCTCACTGGTAAGTATCTCGACAGAGAGAACTTGAAGAAATATGGACATACACAATTAGAAATTCTACATTTGATACGCTTCATCGACAACACGTGAATTTATTCCAAAAATTGACACAGAATTTCAATAAAAATTGCAAATGAACACTTTGTAAGGTGTCGTTTAGAAAATTACTGCTTTATTTATAGCTCTACCATCATTCATGTGCTTTTAAACAACAGTAGCCTTTGCAAACCAAAACCAGGAGCATGACAGTGGTTCTATCTTTCATGATCACAACTTCAAAGACATCAGCAAAAGCTTTGAAATTCTCTGAATCGCTCCGAAAGTTTGCACTCTTTGACAGTGGTTTGAACTTCATGATCACTCCGAAAGTTTACACTCTTTTGACCCTGAGTTTGCTTGGTCACCAAATTGATTTATAACATTCGGCTCCAAGTCATAGTAGAAATTTAGCATCACTAGGAATCAAATGGTTGGACAACTTCCACTTACAATTTGTTGACAACGCTGATCACTCTTTACGGGAAAAGTTAGATAACTTTAGTTTTTCTAGTGTTAATAGTTACGTTTTGTTAGAGCAATTTCAAATTTTTCAACTTGCCTTTTACAAAATCAACTCTCCCTATATCATAAGAATTAATTGAACTAGTTAGTTTTAATTAGTTGAAGATGTTCTCTACCATATTAAGAGTATCCCTATATCTAGTGAAAGCAATATGTTGCTCAAAACTTAGCCGAAGTTTCTCCCACTTGGTATGCAGTGGCGGACCCAGAATTTTGTGCAAGCGGGTTCAATCTTAGAACTATATAAATTTAGTTGTAGAATAGTAGTTGTCAAGTGGGTCCAAATAAAATATTTATACAAAATTTATATAGCTTTAATCCTAATTTATACATATACACAGTATTATTTTTTTGTAAAGCGGGTTCAGTTGAACCCGCTAATCACCTTTTGGGTCCGCCACTGTTGGTATGTATGGTAGTCGATGTTCCCTAGTTGACGTTTATGAAGTTAGGTGCTGAATTATTCAATTCTAACTCTTCGTGTATTTTTTTCACTTCTCTTTTGTGGATTACAAGGTATTGAAACATCCGCCACCATGCAAAATGAGGACCTTGAGGAGATGCGGCGAACGATTCAACAACTTTCTAGGAACTATGCGAATGAACGAGAAAAAAGAAAGCACGAAGAGAAGATTAGAGACGCACTTAGGAATGACATCGACTCCCTCAAGGCTCAAGTGAACCACTTAATCGGCCTCCCCGCTCTCCGCCAAAAAGCCACATTTATGAAGAGAATGAAAGTGATTGAAATAATATAAATGATGAAGAAGATAAGGGAGAATTCGAAGACGAGGAGTGGTTTTATGTTTGGTTGGATTGTTGTTTAATTGGATGTTATCTTTGAATGTTACATTTTGAAGTTTGGTTGGATAGTTTTGATGTTTGATGGGATAATTTGGATGTTTGGATAGTTTATAAAGTTTTGCTATTGTTAAGTTGAGTTTTATTGTGGTTGCATTTTTGTTTCTATTATAATGTTCTGGCTGGCAGGTCTATTGTAATATTCTGGCTGGAAGGTGGTGCAGCAAAAAATAGGCACTTCCGGGCAAAAATGTACTAGATTTACCGAGGGACTTTCTGACAGAGTCCGTCAGAACAATTATTCATTTTCAATCTAGAATTCTTAATTAGCGAGGGAGTCCGTCGGTAGACTTGAACCAAAATTTTAAATTTTGTTGAAAATGCCGACGGATATCCATCGAAATATGAATTTATTCATAGTTTTAATTTTTAAATTACTAAATTAAAATTCTAAAATTACCGATGGTATCCGTCAGTATAATTAAATTATTATTTACTTTACCGACGAATATCCGTCGGTATTGATATTATTAATATTATATTATTTTATAATATACCGACGGATATCCGTCGGTAAGTAAAATTATTTGACCAACTACTGTCAGAAATGTACCAATGGCTTTCCGATGGGGTCCATCGGTAATTATCGATGGATTCTGTTGGTTTATTTACCGAGGAAGGATTTACCTACCAATCACTTACCGACGAACTTCCGTCGGTACAACCTTGTTACTGAGGGATGTCCTTCGGTAATTCGCGTCGTTAAACAAGTGATTTTTAGTAGTGTAAGCGGTTATCGTAAAGGAATTTAACTTTCCTCCATATTTTGTCTTTAAGACACCATGGTGATCGCTCCTTGGCGTCGTTGATTCGAGAGCTGGAATTTTGGGCTTGAAATCTAGGAACACCATTGCCTAGAAACACACTTGAATCGTAAGAGCGATTTCACGCTGTGAGCATCTAATTTTTTTTTACCATATTTAGATATTTAAAATTTTTACCACTTTTAGTATGTAAATAATTTAAGTTTTATTTACATATTTAAACTTTGTTTTACCCTTTTATAGGTTTTATTTAAGGAAATTGAAAAAAAAGAGTCACATTTTTACTATAAGTTTTATCTTCATTTACAGAGAAAAAAAAATTCCCCAAAAAAAGAGAGAAGAAGATATAGTTCTTCTTTAGTTTAGTGCAATTTTTAATGTTTTTAACAAATACGTTGTGTAGTAATTCTACTTTATCTCTTAAAAGAAAACCAAAAAATAAAATAAAATAAGAAGCCAATGGAAAAGTGACATTTAGCAAAGATTCCTTTTAACTAATTTTGTCTTTTTTTAAATATACATATGCACATTCTCATACTGAAGATTCACATTTTTTAAATTGATCTTTTAACAAGTGGACGTGAAGGATTTACAGACCCGTCCTTATTCTCACACGCGCATCACATGTCTTGGGTCGGTTTCCATTTCTTATCCAAAATTGCTGCTTGCTCTCCAAGAATACTCACATAATTGATGCTACATAAGAACCTCACTTGAACAGACTAAAGGAGGATACCTGAAAAACAGAGGACACATCCTTTGCAAAACAGATCTGGAAAAAAAAAAGCGAGAAAAGAGCACGAAAAAGCAGCAACTCTTTCTTCTTCGACCAAGCAAAATCGTTCTCCGTTAAAACCAACAGCCAATCAAGCTCTTAAACCCAGTCCTCCTGAGCTTAAAGCGAAAGCTCCGGTTAGAATTTCCAAGTTGAGATGGGAAAAGCTATCGGTCTCAAAGGGGTCAAAAATGAGAGTGTTGATCTGTCCATTCCTAGTTCGATTTCTTGTTGCCGATCGAGGTTTCCGGTTCGAGTGTTTGTCCTATAGCTCGCTCAAGATTCATTGTTTTGGATCTTCTTTTACTATAACCGTCGGAAAATTTCAGCAATAAAAGGTTCATTTCTTGCTTTGTCTTCTACATTTTATCTTTCTCTGTTTTAATGGTTTGATTCCGTCTTGATGATTTCTGTCCCGTTTCGATGTCTCCAGTTAAGCTTGTTTGTTTATGTTTGAGATAAGTAATTAATTGTTTGGTGATGTGAATCAAATTTTGAGATGCTTTTAACAATGACAGAGGTATTGTGCGGGCCGTGAGATTTTAGTTGATGCATTCATTAATTAATGAAGACTCCCATAAGGACTTCAATTGTTTGTTTAAACTCCTGCCACACTTACGTATTTTCCAATTCAATTTTAAACTTTTAACAGACCCTGTAATGTAGATTTATATCACACTTACTCGCAAATAATTCCATAATTGTGAGACCTTCCACAATAATCTCAAAGATTAGGAAAATAATTCAAATGCGCTAGTTGCTTTAGGTGCGATTAATAATAAATCATCATGACTATGAGTACGGTTCCCATGGCATAGTCATGATGCATAATCTTTAATTCGAGTGTACATTTCACGTGACTCGACCATAACTTCAAATAATAATAATAAAAGTTAAGACGTTGTAAATTGCGGGTGCATTTCACGTGGCGCGATTCGCAATGTGTACAAAAATAAATGAGTCCGCGACATCGCTGCTTGTTCAAATAAACTCCATAAATAATTAAAAGTGGTTAAAAAGCTAAAATGCACAATATGTTTTAAATATGTATTAATCAAATAATTAGGCCAATTATTAATAGTTGAGCGACCGTGCTAAAACCACGGAACTCGGGAGTGCCTCACACCTTCTCCCGATTTAACAGAATTCCTTACCCGATCTTCTGTGTTCGCAGACCATAAATAGAGTCAACTTCCTCGACTTGGGATTTAAAATAAATCGGTGACTTGGGACACCATAAATTATCCCAAGTGGCGACTTTGAATGAATAAATAATCACATTTCGAACAATGTCACTTTAATTGGAAAAACTCCCATATCCCCTTGGGAAAAAGGAGGTATGACAGCTCTGGCGACTCTGCTGGGGATCGAACTTAGAATCTCTGGTTCAGGGTCCAGAATTCGAGTTTAGAATGACTGTTAAACTTGGCTACTTGTGATTGTCTGATATTACTTGTTTGAGCCTAATGTGCTAATTGCCTCTCTTTACCGCTTTGATATTATTATGAACTGTATATAAACTGTTACGAAAACACTTCTTCTCTCTGAGTCTTCTAAATTTTCTGGGAAGCGTGCGCTTTGCTTGACTTCTTTTCTATTAGAGTCATATCCTAATTTTAGAATGAAGTTCAGACAAGTTGCGAACCCGGCGAAGCTTCTGTATTCTCGGTACACTGCCCCCCTCCCCCCCTCCCGGCTCGAGTTGTCCACTCAGGTAAGCCAGGTCTAGAACAATACACCCAGGATTCAAACTTAGAATGACATGGCTTTTGGATCAAGGTAGGACTTATCGAACTATGATGGTTTCATCTTTCCTTAAGCAGTCCATTTTCTCATTTCGGCTCATACTTTCTTGACTCTTTGAATCATTTTCTTCTTCTTTAGTAGAACTAGAGAGACACACCATCACTCTTTCTTACTCATGACAATCATTTTTCTCATCATTCTATGCCTTTCATCATTGCGTTCTTTGAATCCCTTCAACCTTCACTTTCTTTTTGACGTATTTCTTTTTGGCTTTTCTTCCGTTTCTTTGCCTTTCCTTTTCATCAATTCTTTTTCTTCTTTGAACCTTTTATCACTTTCAAATTCCTCGTCTCTCCCCCAAACTTATGCTTTTGCCAATTGTTCATCATGAATGTTAAGGAAAGATTGGGTGCCAAGAAAGGGTCATTATAAAATGGATAAAGGCTTGTAATATGGCTATTGAATGAAAAAGGCTTAGGCTCAAAGGGTTGACTAGGGATATCATATTGGTAGGCTACGAAAGCTTTCAAAGTTCAAATTGGACCAAGGAGAACCTACAATCATTTCTCAAGTCGAGCTACACTTAGAATTTCGCCTATACAAATATTCAGGGCAAGTTTTAGACTTATTGGCACGGGACTTGGATTTGCAATTCAGTACCTCACCTCCCAAGCTGCTGGATTGTTAAAGAGAATAGAGTCGAGGGCCCACAACAACCCTAGCTAAGATTAAAAATCACAAATGGCTCAAGGAAACCACTCGATAATTGTTTTAGTCAACTTAAGAGTCTAAAGGTCACAATTAGAGATAATATTTGCCAATCAACTTGTCTCTAACCATGAGGTAGTACCAAGTGAAGCCTGCTTGAGACACTTTTATTCATTACTACTACTATGTATACCAACAAAAAAAAAACGGACTCGATCCCTTAAGAAGGTTGTCATGCCATCCATCGTTGGGAAGATCCACCCGGTTCACACAACATCCACCTTTAGAAAGAACCGTGGCATTAAAAAAACCAAAGGCTTATTGTTCACACAAAATGTTAAAAGAAGCTAAAAACTTTAAAAGAAGCTACTAGAGGAAATAAGAAGCTAAGCTATTAAGGAAAAATAATAAAAGAAGTTATGAAGTAAACTACGGAAAGTAAACTGAATATATACAAAATGGAGTAAACGAATATATACATAATGGAAATAAATATATACATCGAATGGTAAAATTATATACATACCAAAAGTAAAAATAACGGTAAATAAAGATAAATAAAAATAGTATCATAGTTATTACATACCAAATGTCATCACAAATCAAATCAAAATGGACCACCCCCCAAATAAAAAATAGCATTGTCCTCAATGCTAATAT